GTCAGTGGGGAATGGGAAGGGAAGTCATTGGAGGGCCGTAGGACAGGATATACAGCACCCTTCAGATCATGGAAAGAGGTGCAGTTTGTTCCTGAAGGACAGGCACTATGCAGCCTTCCCTCTCACTCCCCACAGTGCACGCCTGTGCTCTGGGTTTAAGCCAAGGTTGTCTGTCAGTCCCACCTGTCGGAGTCCTTCTCAGCCTCTGCTTCAGGGCTCTTGGAGGCCTAGCAGACAGTAGGTGTGAGGGTAATAGAGATGGTTGGTGCCAATTTCAAGGGTCCCACTATAAGCTCAGCATATCTGGCATTCTCTGCGGACCTCGGTGATGGGCCCTCAGAGGTGAGCATCCTTCTGTTTTATTAGTCTGGAGTCAGTAATGTCCTCTTCCTCATTACTCTCCTGCCTCCAGCCCTGACCCAGGTCCAGCTAGGCCAGCATCTATATCTGTTTTGCTGAGATGGTAGAATGGGTTTGTGACATTGAAGATTTGGGAAAACTGTGAGATCATCCCCTGTGAAAACACCCATTGTTTAGTGTGGCAGTCTGCCTGGTGCCTTTGTTTGGAGGCAGAAGCCCTGGTTCGGACCTGTCTTGCCCCTGTCCGAGAAAGCCAGGGTCAGAGATCAGGGCTTCAGCCCTACGTGTTGTTCATTTTTTTTAAAATTTATTTATTTTATTTTTATTTATTTTTGACTGTGTTGGGTCTTCATTGCTGTACGCGGGCTTTTTCTAGTTGCGGCTAGTGGGGGCTACTCTTCGTTGTGGTGCACAGGCTTCATTGTGGTGGCTTTTGTTGCAGAGCACAGGCTCTAGGTGTGCGGGCTTCAGTAGTTGTGGCACATAGGCTCAGTAGTTGTAGCTCACAGGCTCTAGAGTGCAGGCTCAGTAGTTGTGGCGCACGGGCTTAGTTGCTCCGCGGCATATGGGATCTTCCCGGACCGGGGCTTGAACCCGTGTCCCCTGCGTTGGCAGACAGATACTTAACCACTGCACCACCAGGGAAGCCCCCATGTTGTTCATTTTTATCTCCAGACTAGTTATCACTGGGAGTCCTGGCTCTGGAGTCCACTAAGCCTGGTTCCATCCAGTTCCACCATTTATTAGGCTTGTAACCTTGAGCAAATTAGCTGACCTTGCTGGGCCTCATTTTGCTCATGTCTAACATGGGAATTGACTCACAGGGTGTTAGAACAAATGCATGTAAAGCCCTTAGCACATTTCTACACGTAATACACATTAGTGAAAATGAGACATTATCAGCCAGACATTGCTGTTTCAAGTTTCAAAATATGGAAACACTGACCCAGAATTTGAGGATAAAAATGAAGTTTTTTCTGTTACCCAGTGGAACCTCCTGGGCCAGAGGTTTTAACCTGGGGTCTGTGACAACCTCAGGGAGTATGAATGACTTGAAATCATTCACAAGGCTGGGGCATCTCTGCCTCTGCGCAAATTTATTGGGAAAGGGCCATGGTTTATGAGACATTTTTAGAGTGTCTTTGCACCCACAGAGACCTAAGGGTCAGTGAAGGCTGATGCTCAGTGGGTGAGAGATCACCAAGGTCATTGCTGCTCCTCGAGGAGCCTGGCCTTAGTCAACCTAAGTGAAGCAGGAGACGGTGTGGTCAGCAGCCCTCTTGGAAGAGCTGTAGGAGAAGCTGTCATGAAGCTCACTCTCCAATCTGATGTGAGGCTGCCCCTCAGCCTTGGCATTTTGTTTCTTTCCAGGCTGCTCTTTCCACAATAAATATATTAGAAACAAGGTCAGCGCTGGCTGGCCATCCTGGGGAACATCCTCCCAGCCTGGTGCACCTCTCCCCTATGTTGCATGGGGATGGGAGGTGGGCTCTGCACCCTGTTGCTTCTTCTGGACTCAGGAATGCTGCCTCCTGGCTATGAGTGCAAAGCTTTGTGGAAGATTTGGAGTCAGAAACTATAAATCCTGTAGTTTGCTGGACTCTGTGCTGGGAGGTTGAGGGGGTGGGGTCGGGTGTGGCAGGAACCACACTGGAACCCTCACAGCCCAGAGCCACAGTGTTTAGGCAGAGGAATGAGCCCTGGGTGTGTTGATATGGCTTTGCACATGGGGTTGGAGTCAACAGTTGAGTCTGGAAAGGAGGACCCAAATGTGTGGCATCTGAACAGTGACCTGAGGGGAGGGCGGGCATCACGGCAGGAGGACTCACCTGTGCAAAAGACACAGGGAGCTAGCACTCAGAGTTCTGGTGTGTTTATGTGTGGAGCTGGATGGAGATAGGAGAGAATGGCTGAGGAGTCAGGGACGGGTGTGGATAGCCACCTGTGGGGCTTTGGGGGTTTGACCTTTAACCCAAGGGTGAGGGTTTTGTAGGGGAGGGCCATGGACAGCCTTGTGGTTTAGAGCTCAGGGATGCAAAGTTAACAGAAAGCAAGCAGTGGCCTTGACCAGAGAACCCAGTATCAGCACTGATGTACTGGATGAGCTTGGGGCAACCAGCTGAACCTTGGTTTTCCCACCTGTAAAGTGGGCTGGCAGTGGAATCCGACCACATGGCGATGTGATCACGACATAGAGATAAACACATCAGGGTCAAGCAGGCCTCGAACGAGGTTGGTGTTGGCCTCAGCGGCCCCATTTGACATCTTTAAAGCAAAGTCTTCAGTCCACATACTTTTGAAGGTTCCTTCTCCCACTTTCTGGGAGCCCCTGAGCAGTCCTGTTCCTCAGGAGAGCTCACTCTGCCCTGCCCCACTCCACCGGGCCAAAGGGGTCTTCTTGTCCTTTTATCCCTCCACCTCTTTACTCTACCACTACTTCTGCCAAGTAGTTTTTGTATTAGCATAATGTTATCACACTGTTAAGAACAATGTTGAAAAAGGAAAAAACACCCCCCCACTTCCTTCACCTCACTGTCCCACCACATGGCGCCACTTTTTTTTTCTTTGGATCAGCTTCTGGCCTTATTTCCCCTCATCCTCCATCTCCAGTTTCTCCGTTTCCTGCCCTAATCTCTTTCTGTGGCTCTAGACATTTGCTAATGTTGTTTCTTCTGACTGGCATACTCCTTTCTCCAAGACCTTCCCTGAGGGCTGCTGAGAACAGAGCGGGAGATGGCCCTCATCCATTCCTCCAGCTTTCCCCCTGCCCCAGAGTTCAAGATGCTCAGCAAGGCATCTTGAGAGCATGATGTGGTAGGGTTGGGTCACAATGAGTGAGCCAAGCATAGTGAATACTAGGGTGGAAGGGGCAGAGATGCGAGATGTGGGGCTGTGTCCTGCCTTCAGTAACCCAAGTTTGCATGTGGTACAGTCACAGTCTGACCCCTTGGAAATGTGACCAAGACAGAGCAGCTGGGACCAGCTGTTGATCCTATGTTTTTCCCATTTGTTGATGTATTTCTTGGCAGAGTGTGAACTGGGACACACCTTGTCCCAAGCAGGCGTGACCGGGTCCAAGCTTTCTCCTCTGCTTGTTTTAGACTTTTCTGGACATTTCTTAGTCATCCCAGCACTGAGCTGCTATTTTTAGTGCCACCACCTCCTAGGGGACCTAAAATAAAGCTGGCTCAGCTTCCTGGCCCCTCATTGGCTGGAGTGTTGGTCACAGGCAGGGAGATTGGCTAGATTGGGGATAAGCCACTGCCCACTAACACTGTCCTTCCCTCTGGCTCTTCTGGCCTTGGGTGAGGTCATAGGGACTGGAGCAAACTAGCACTTACCATGTTGAGTTGAGGGCTTTACTAGGTTCCCTTAGTGAGACCACAACCACTGGCAACCTCAGGCTTCCACCCTCTTATAGAGAAGGGGGCTGAGGCCCTAAGAAGTGCAGTGACTTGCGTGAGATCCCACTACTGCCAATGGTTGTCTGCCAGGGCCAAACCCACCTCCTTACTGCTTTGGTTCAGAGTTCCTGTTATTAGGAGAGAGGGGGTGGGCTCCTCTACAGTCAGAGATGACTACAGAGCAACACACAGGTCTGCTGTCATGGATCCTGCAGGGAGATGCACGCCACCCTACCCGGGCCTGCCAAAGCGTGAGCGACTCTTTCATCTGGGGCTTGGGTTTTCCGTCTAGCAGCCTGGGGTCCCTGATATCTGTAGCGGGGGGGGCCCTCCCCTCCCTCTCCTCCCCTCCCCTCCCTCTCCTCCCCCCCTCAGAGACTGGAGAGGGGCAGCCCTTCTGATGGAGCGAGTTCTGGGATGGGGATGTGAAGACATGACACATTTCCCCCTCACAGCCTTCACTTCCCCTCCCAACATTTCTGTTATTACCTGTGATCCTCTGAACCCATGGTTCCAGCTCTGAAGTGGGTAGATGTAACCCCCATCAGTGACGAAATCATGTCACCTGGCCTCAAAGACGTAAATTGCCTCCTTAAGACAAAGTGTGTGCGGGGGGGAGTCACTCGCTGTCTTTGTTGCAAATGGGGCCTTGAGGAGCCATTTCTCCCCACTCCCACTGGGTCTTCTTCCACCTGCCAGTAAGCCCAGAGGGCAGTGTTGAGGGACTGAGTGCTGAGTCTCAGCAGGACAAGGAGTGGGCCTGAAGGCTGCAATAGAAGACACTCCACATACAGACATCAGTAGTTCCCGACCTGGCAAAGTGGGAAGAATAGCAATAACTCTCGCCTTGCAGGTTGTTGAGAGGATTAAATGAAAAGATATGGGGAGAGTGCTTAGCTCCTTAAAAGCCCATCCCTCCATTGGACTTGCTCTGACCTTCCTTTGTCCTGGCTCCACCCTCAGCACCCATCCTGCTGTTTCATCCACGAGAGCCCCTCAAAGGAGGGTCTGGGTCTGGTCCACCTCTGGGCTCCCTGCACTGGTCTGTATTGAGGGATCGCCTGTCAGTTCCCTGGGCCCTCTCTGTGTTTCCTGGGAGAACAGACCTCAGCAAAAGACTCCCTACTCAAGGAGGTCTGGGAGGGGTGGGGGTCAGTGAGGAGACTGGCTGGCTACCTCCTGCTGCCACGGTACCAAGGTACCAACACTACCCTCCCTGTCTCACTGGACTTGCAGGTCTCAACGAGGCCGGGTGACGCTCCAGAATGGGAGACAAGCCAATTTGGGAGCAGATTGGATCCAGCTTCATTCAACATTACTACCAGTTATTTGATAACGACAGAACCCAACTAGGCGCAATTTATGTAAGTCTTCAGCTCTAGGACCAGAACGGGACCTCAGGGAATCAATTCAGATGTTGGGCCAGTGCCTCCAGTTCACAAGTTCTGGCTGCCCTCACTGAATTTGGCTGTCCCCTTTTATCTGAGCTACTCTCCATGGCACAGGGGGCTTAAGGCCTAGCCCAACTCCCTGGTCCACACATTCCTTTCTGTCATCTATAAGACTGGATTCTGATACCCTAGGCAGCAGGTTCTGGGCTTGCCGTTCCATGGTCCTGGGAGTACCTCTGTTCTAGATTGGGCAGCAGCAGACAGAGGCTAGGGCTCATGGTGCCCTCTGGAGGCAGCAGCTGTAAGCGTCATCAGTGCCCCGCTGATCTCTCCTGGAGGCCCCAGGTCCACCTTCCTTTGGGGGGCCAAAAGCCGCTGAATGCTCATGGGAAACAAATGGGGTTAGTCCAGGGAGGTTGGTGTGTCAAGAAACCCTTCTATGCAGGTATGATTTGCTGCTATTTTAGTGATGTTCATATATACCAAGAGTTAATTGTATTTGACCCTGCCCAAGACAGAAATGTGATTGATCAGGCCACGCCTAGCAGGTCTGCCCAGGATAGGAGAGGTAGGAGTCATCCAGCATAGCCTTGCAGCCTGACTGGGCTGTGGGCAAACTCCTTTGTGTCTCCCTCCAAAAAGTCAGGGCCAGTTCAGAAATTTTGAAGAAAAGAAAAGGATCTTACCAGTGGAAGAACAAATCCAGCACAGGTATTTGATTGTCATTATCATAGGTAGAGAATTTTAAAAACTCAAACTGGTATGACTCTGGGATCCTTGGCACTTCTACCTTATTGCTTTTAAAATCAATTAAAGCAGGCCTGACCCAGAGAAGAGTTAGCAAGGTCCTAAAAGAGTACTTTATGTATGTCATTTTATATAAACCTCAGCACATGTTCCTTTTAAAGATCAGGAAACTGAGACTCAGGGGGAGAAAAAAAAAAGTAGCTTGCTTAATGTCAGAGCTGGTAAGTAGCAGAGGCACTTTTGAGTTCTGCCCCTGAAGGCTGTGGCAGGAGAGATGGGGTGGGGAAGAAGTGAAGGTAGTGGGTTACATGTTGATGGTAGGGAGGGTCCCAGGCAAGGCCTTGTCAGCCTCCATTCCTCCCTGACCCCATGGGAAGGGCCTCTGTGGAACTCACTGATGGCTTTTCTGGGACTGGTGCTGACTGACCATGCAGCAGGATGGCTTTTGACTGAGCCCTGGCCACATATAGCCAGCCTGGAGCTCATGCATATCAAAGGCCATACAACTTATTGAATAAAAGGTGGGAAGTGAACTTACTTATTAATAAGTTTGTATTTTGTTACATAGTCTTTCAGAGCTTGGGTTCTGCAGTGCTGGGGTGTAATTAAAGAAGTTGTTCATCCTGTAAAGTTTGGAAGTTACCCTCATTTTCCTTCTTTACAGGCAGGGAAACTAAGACATGAACTAATTTCCCCAAGCAAGACCCTTTTCAGGGTCCTTTCAGGGCCTCAGAGATACTCCTTGTGCTCTGAAGCCCTGACCCCAGGTTTCCTGGTTTTCAGATTGACGCGTCATGCCTTACGTGGGAAGGACAGCAATTCCAGGGGAAAGCTGCCATTGTGGAGAAATTGTCTGTAAGTAAGGGCCAGGGCTGGGCTGCAGGCAGCTCCTTCCCCACCCCACTGGCCACAGCCCACC